TGGTACATAGGAACTGCACTGTTGTACCGTATACAGCTTACGATGTAAACAGACTTCGCCACCTGCTTCAATTCAAACCGAAATTAGATATATTAATATTATTATGTATTAGCCTGCTTACGGATGGCAATGTTAAGTGCAAGCTTACCTCAAATTTGTAAAAATATCTTTATTTATGGCCCTTTTCGTGCACGGCAATGGTAAGTGTCGCATCAAGATTGTTTTTTTTTATTAAGTCTGCCTTTGTATGTTATTAAAATGCAAGCTTAATTCATATACGTAAAATATCTTTTTTTTTTTATAAAACTAGGAAGTAAGTACAATCGTTTATGTCATTTTCATTAATATTCAAATAGCTTCATTGACATACAAGCAAACTTGAAAACACTTTCAATTAATATAAAGCTATTTTTTCTATGCAGTTGTCTTTCAAAAATTTACATGTAGATTATTTATATAAACTATTTTACAATATTTGTTTGAACATTTCAACAAGGTTGATGTGACAGTGTAAAACGAAACACGAGTTTTAAAGTGATTATATACTATTTAGAAATTGGTTAAATGAGTCTGATTCAAGTCATATCAATAAAAGCTATGATACAATTTTATGTGAATTATTATGAATTTTAGAGTGGTGTCGTACGCTATGCAAGCTTGAGATCATGATTCAAAAATGAACATTCCCAGTAACATGAATAGTTTGTAATTGTTTTAAAATGTCACTGTTTACAGAAGACATCACTAATTGCAAAGAATGTGTTCATCAGAATGATAGCCTTAAGTTATTTTATCACATACTTATTGCAATCACATTTTACGCAACGATTAAGTATGGAATGAAATTATACCTCACACTAAATAAATTCATTATTTAAGCTTTTGGCGAAGTTTAATTTTTATTTTTGATTTAATGAGTTAAATTAGAATATAATTGTACTATTTCCTACATGTTCTAATTTGGTCCTTGGTATTTTCGAACAATGTGTATTTTGAGTATTCGTTAATTAAATGTTCAGATATAAATGTTAATCATATGTTTTAAAGAACATTGAGGAAATGAATATGTGGGTAATTTAGGAATTTACTTAAAGTGGTACCCGAATGATATTAAAACGTAAAAGTAAACAGAATATTTAAACATAATTAATTGTGAAAACAAAATTCATATTAATCATATTCTTTTTCGGATGAAAGTTTGAAAAACAAATGAGAAGGGTTCGAGCCTAACATGCCTGGTTTAGAAACAGACACATTAATATTAGACCACCTCTCCAAGTAACATCATGAAAAAAAAGAATTTTGAAAAAATTAAGCGTTATCAAAAAATTAGAAATTATCAAAAAATGAACATTATTTACAATTTTGTAAAGTAAATATGTCATTCTTTACGAAAAGTTTCTAAATGCCCATTTATTGTACTTATGTAAACCAGTAAATAAAATGAATTTATACAATTAAAAGTTGTTTCTTTACTGTTCACAATTATAATTTAAAGATATGTCAAAATGCGATCAGTCATATGATTAAATTTCAGTCTCTTTTTTATAGTTGCTTTAACAATACAGCTTTTTGTAGAACATTTAATTATCATGACGTAACATTTAGTAATTAAATGGCAATTTTTCCACCATTCCATGTGGATCAAATTTTTTTTTCTTCAATAAAATCCCCTTGTTGGTCGTTTATACAATTTTGGCACATTAAAAGCAAATTTGTCACTTTAGAGTGATGTATTGGGCTAGATTAAAATACTACTATATTTTATCTGTACTTTAATGTGGCTGTCTTATTTTAATAATTTTGTTATGAGTAAACATTAATTATATTTTATCCCTCGTTCATCAAAGAAATATTTCAAAGTGTACTTTTTGCTACTTTTATGACGAATAATTCAATTTCTAAAGGTAAAATGAATCTAGCCTGCTGTAAAACAATTATCTAATCATTACAAACAAATGTTTACCCTTTCGTAAGAAGAAAACTCAACAAACTGGGGAACTATTACTATACAGTATTTGAAAAAATATGTGAAAGGGCAATAGTTAATTTACTATTCAACAATTGTTATTAATAGCAGGTTTTATTTCAAACAACACTTAAGCAACTTATAGCAAGGAAATATGATACGTATATTGAGCAATAAAACCAATTATATTGTTTTTGTAGTGTTTTTTTTTACTTAAACAGTATAATATAAAAACGACAAGGAACTCGTCGTCAATAAATATTTCAGTTACTATATACTCAAGGAAACTATATCAACTGGAATAAGACTGTTGGTTTAACTACAATCAGCTGATTATTCATTTACTTTTATTAGGTTTATTTACTCAATGTTTTTTTTTCGGAGTGTTTTGGTTTTGTTTAAAGTTACACCGAAAGAGAAAAAGTCATGCTGCGATGATTTGTCAGATTTAAGCGGACGCCTGACTGAAACCAGTTACATTCCGTAAACCCACAGTGGTAACAGTACAATAACTGTACTGTTAAGAAAAGATATTCCATTTTCTTATTATGACTTGGAAATAAGAGAATTGGTATTCTTATTAAGTGGTGCAGTGACCGTAAAATAAGTGAACAGTGAACTTTAAAAGAAATATATTTCATGTCAGAATGTTGCATGGTCATTTGTTCTAAGAATTTAATAAAAAAACCAATTTGCCTCTAAAAGTTTCATTTATAATAGAATTGTAAATGTTTTACGTCTTCGTCAATTTGATTTTGTCTTTACTTTTGACACATAACATCATGAAAAAATGTTAATCATGTGAGATTAGTTCAACACAAATGATTCCAGTGTTGGTTAGGTTTAAAACTTAAGCATTCAATGCAGAAATAACTCTCAACATTTAAGTGATGAAATCGATAATTTTCTAACAAAAGTATGAATTGATTTGCAAGTGATAAAAGCCGAATTAGTACACAAATTGATTTGCTCAATTTTGTTTAAAATTTTGAAATTTTAATTTGAAAAATAAAATATTCACACTTTGATTTAGTCATTTTGCTTTGAACAATTATTTCAAGTGATGCTAAAGTTTCTGTTCGTATATGGGAATTTCTTGGGTACAATCGGTATACAAAAATTTTTAAATAAAGGTTACATAAGATTGGTACTTCGATACATTTAGTTTTTACTAATTTATTTTAGTTCGATTGTGATAGAAGCTTCAAGGTTCCTTCAACCAACCAGTATTAAGCATTGAGGGTAAAAAGTCTTGCTCATGGAAACAATAGCCCCTTGTGGGGTTTGAAATAACGCGGTGAGCAAATCGTTAGATTACTAGGCCACGCCGCCACTTTGTGGCACATTTGTTTTTCTTCCTAATCATGTATAGCAGCAAGGAACAATATCCATCATGCGCCGTATTAAACTTTACTGATGTGTTGTAAATAAAAAATCATAACTTCAGCATTACGTAATTACATTATGTAACAATTCGAAATTGAGTAAGCCTAAGTTAAAACAATATTTATCATTTAAATGCCTAAACAAGATGTTTTGTGTGCATTAAAACAACGGCAATTTGTGTGTTGATACTAAAAGGATTATTTCCCTCGGCATCACCATTGCTTATTAGAGTGATTACAGCAAAAAAATGTTATTTCAACGTCTTTCATTTGTTAATGTAACTTATTACATCAATACTTTTAATACGATTACAAATACACAAGATTCGAATTCCCTGCTTAAATCGGATCAAATCAGTTCATTTTAAATATAAAGCCTCATTTAGGCAAATTTTATACATATAAAACTCAGTCAATATTTTTAAAAACTTGAGGGTGTCCTGTTACAGTTTAAAAAAACGTTAGTCATTGGCCATATGTTTTGCCATAAGTTTGTTTCTTAGGCATATTGGTTACAAGTGCAATTATAGTGAATTACTATTTTGTATGGAAGTCAAAATACCGCTTTTGCTTTCCTGGATCACAACTTATTTAACATTAAACATTATTCTTCTATGGTTATGAGCATCTCGCATTTTAAAAGGAACTCCACTGAGGTCCAATAGCCTAAAATAAAAAGGTTTGAAATGCTTTCTTAAATCAACTGGTACACTTAAATTTGAAACCAAGCAAGAGATGATATATAAATGTACACGGTATTAAATTGATAATCGATTTTTATGCGATTTTTGGCCGATTTGAATGGAAAGCGTTGCAACCGATCTCATTTTTTGGGCCAATTTGCACAATAAAATTAATAATTTCTGGGAAACGGAGTGAGCGAGTGATTTGAAATTTTGTACACGAGTTATTATTGGAATAGACATACATATAGTTGTACAAAAAGCTTGAAAAGTTTTTTCGGCCCCTTCACGTCAAAAAACCTCTGTGGAGTCCCTTTAACTTAATTTTAACAACATTACTAAACACATATTTGACCTTTCTGCATTATGCCACATTTATTCATTAACGAGGCAAAATGTGCTTTAATACTAATAATAGTATTGTTATACATTTGAAATGTTTACCGACAGATGTCTATAAAGATATGTTATATCAAAAGAGGTTATCATTATATACGTAGCTATAAAAACAAACAAACAAGCCTTACGACAAAATGATTCCATTTGATAAGAAATTAAATGTACAAGCACAGATAGAATTAAGATAATACAGGCTCTGCAATGTCCACTGGGAACCATATTTATACCGTTTACTTTCTAATAGATGACTTTTTAATGTAATATTCTTATCTTATCATTACATTCATCATCTAATTATTATTTTTTATTTGTTGTTAGCAATAATGAAAAAAACATATTTTCCAATTTCTGATTTCGAGTCATGAAAAAAATTCTCAATATATTATCATGACAATTCGTACAACAACGTTTCTGAATGTTAAACAAGGAGACATTACACAATCAGCTGATTGTTTCAGTTTTACCGTAAATTGACACGAACGAATTAAACAATAGAATATAAAGTAACTTAAATATTTAGTTGGTTACATCATGTTCAACCATACACATTTTGAAAAAAATGTATATACAGTAGAACTTCGGTAAGTCGAAGTTCAAGGGACTTACGTAAAAAGTTCGACACATCGGGACTTCGACTCATATATAGGTCCGAATTTTGCGACAAAATTTCGCCATGACACAACGTTTACAAATGACATTACAAATGGCGTTACAAAGAAAAGGGGCGATAAGTAAATCATCTTATATTACGGATCAGATACAATACTGGTTCGTGCGTGTTTAAAACAAAACAAGAATATTTTTTTTTAACAAAATTTATTTATTTATTCATTCATTTATTTATGTACAACAAAACAGGCAAATAAAACATGACTTAAATAAATACATTTTACTTTTTAATACACAATGAATAATGAGCACATTTTTATTAACGAATATGAATATCACACATCACAATGTTTATAAACGATTATCATGAACATTCACAAAGAAATCAGAGATTGATGTCTGCTTACACTCACTTCTTCTTAGATAATATCTGCTGAACATAGAACTAATGTCACTTAATTTTGCGATGGCTCTTTCTGTCTCCGCATCACTCCCGATTCCTTGTTGGTGAAGAAAGTCCCTGACCGCATCTAATCCGTCCATGGCATCGAAAATTGTCACTCCAGATCTTGAAGGCAGCTCATTATCATCGTTATCATCAGGAAGGGTTTCATCGTGAGATTGACGTTGTGAAACAACGTTATTTATGATTTCATCGTCAGTGAGATCAGCGCATACCGGAACACTGTCATCTGCCGATGTGTATTGCTCAAACGATACACCAGAGGTTAGACGCCTCAGAGTTGACAGAGGTAAGTCATCCTCAGGGTCGTCCTCAATCATTTCAATACCGGAAACTGAAGACTGCTGGAATCCAGCATGTCGGAAGCAGTTAGCAATAGTCTGAGGACTGACAGCATGCCAAGCTGTTTTGAGCATGTACAATGCATCTAAAACCGAGATGCTTGTTTCTCCACCTTTTTCAATAGCTCGAAGCTGTCGTTGAATGACTTGCTTTTTAGTGAGATTTTTTATGACTCCCTGATCCATAGGTTGGGTCACGGATGTTGTGTTTGGTGGCAGAAATACGAGTTTGACAGATCTTAATCCCGTGATGTCTGGATGCGCAGGGCAGTTGTCGACAATCAACAGAACCCTTCGCGACTGTGCCGAAATACGGCGGTCAAACTTTTTCACCCAGTTAGTGAAGATTTCTGATGTGACCCATGCTTTTTTGTTTGCATCATATTCAATTGGCATTGTTTTTAGATTTTTGAAACAGCGAGGATTTTTTGATTTTCCTATCACAAAAAGCGGTACTTTCTCAGACCCTGTCATGTTTGCGCAGACCATAACTGTTAATCGATCCTTGCTCATTTTACCACCGTGGCACTGAACATCTTTAAATTCTAAGGTCTTGTCAGGCAACATTCTAAAGAACAAGCCAGTTTCATCGGCATTGTAAATGTCTTGTGGCTCATATTCAGTCAGATAGGTTTGAAGTTTAGATTTCCACTCGGTCATTGCTGTGGAATTAGAGTCGACAGATTTTGCTTCACCACAAACTTTTTTGAAGGACAGTTCATGTCTTTCTTTAAATCTGTCAAGCCAGCCTGTTGAGCACTCGAAATCAGAAACATTGATCTGGTCTGCAAATTGCTTTGCTTTTTGTTTGACAATTTCACCAGATAGCGGTATGTTTTTTGATCTTGCATTAGAAAACCATTGCAAGAGGGCACTTTCTAACTCTGGAAATTTTGCCTTTTTGTCACGTTTGCGTTGTGGGCCAATGTCTGCCTCTGAAAACTTCTTTTTAATTTCATCTCTTTTTTTTAACCAAGTTGAAAGTGTATTAGGTGGAATACCAAATTTACTTGCGACATCTTTTTTCTTTATTCCCTTTTCTACTTCTAGTATTGCCTGGTATTTAATTTCGTAAGTCTGCACATTCAGTTTACGCTTTATTCCTCGCTCTGATCTGACCGATCTAGCTATCCCCCCGGAATAACCGGGTCCTTCACTAGATGCTTCGGTCACATTTGTGCGGCTCGCTATCCCCCCGGGTTGGGTACCGGGTCCTTCGCTTACCAACACGTTATGATCAGTAGAAATATCCATAATGGAACTAATTTGTCAACATTCATAGAGGTTTATATTCGAATCATATGACATTGAGAGTGATAACGATTAAAGACATAATAAAGGATATTTTCACACATAGTAACGCATGCAAAAGCTGTTAAAACAAGCGGCTGTGTGTTATTAACACCTGTCAGATAAGATGATCGGCAATCATCTACGCGGGCGGAAAAGGTGTGAAAAATATCTGGAGATTAAAGGTGTAAAAATTATTGAAGGACTTCGACTTATTTGTGGTAAATTGCACTCGATTTATTCTACACGGACCACGGAAAAAACTCGACACATCGAAAAATTCGACACATAAAAGTTCGACTCATTTGTAGGTTTTTATAAGGAATATATAGGGGAAAAAATCGGGACTTTCATTTTAATTCGACACATCGAGAAAATCGACTAATCGAAGTTCGACTCACCGAAGTTCTACTGTAGTTACCACGTCGTTGCTATGGAGAAAATATTTAAATGTACAATAAATGACATCATGCCGCTTCGTTCAGCAAGGGGTGATACAGGGGTAGTACCTGGTAAATGTAGTGTGAAATATGTTTACTTTCTTAAATGACATAACTGGTTTGTTCATTTTAAAACCACACGTTTTGTCAGGTATAATTGTGTATAGTTTTTCGTTTATGTCATTTTACACGTTAACGTTAAAAAGTAAATGGCTATAGCGGGTAAATTAGTTTTGTTTGTTATTTCATATCATATTTATAGTAAAAAGATTATAGACACTGTTACTGACAGAAATCGTAAATATATTATATACTGTACACTTTTGAATCAAGAGATCAATATAAAATTATCATTGAAAGCCATAGTCTGTCGTCCTATATAAGTATAATAGTTGATTTCATGTGACTCCAAAAAATCACTTTTGATTTATTCGTTGTTCGTGCATTTTAATGGTATCAGTTTAAACTGTAGTTTCAACATTGTTATTTCTATACAAAAAATAAAGAATGCACGTTTCATTGTGTTTTCCTTTTGATACCATGGTCACAATCTTTAAATCATATGATAGAATAAATTTTATTATTAAGAATACTAGACCGTTATGGGTACCAGAAACAAAGAACTCATTTTCATTTCCATTCTTTTCCTGATAGTTTAAAGCATTTTTTACGAATGGAAGTAATGTTAACACTTATTTTGTTATATTCGTTTCTTTATTACTCGACTTCTCTTTGCATTTGTGCCTAAATTAAAATCACCAATCCATATTTCCAAGAATTATTTGCGTATGAATTTCTTTTGGAAAAATTATCTACTTTTCTTGTTCTAATTTTTTGACCGATACAAAAAAGTGCCATTACGTAACAAGTGACCATTGCTTTAAACATTTTTATCTCGGATTACGACATGCGCGTTATACAAGGTCTATTTTATACTTAATTAGGAATGACAGATCTGTTTGCAAAATAAAACCGTTGCCAATGTGTAGGGCATCTCATTCGATTTTAATACAGAATCTCCAAAGTTATATGAATATGAATAATTTAACAATATAACAGTATTTAACAATTTTACCGTTTAGAATTTGGCTATCACGGTTTGTTTTGATACATATGAACATAATATTATCTATGTAAATTTTGTTTCATTTTTTAACATAATCTTAAAAAACATCATTGAACGTAAGACATTGTATTAGGTAGCAAACTGTAACCAACGTGGTATTCCGACTTACACATAGAACAATTCATCACTGTGTATCGTCAAAACGCAAAGAAGCAAAAGACCGTGGCTCGGAGTTTTGACCAATGAGTAACTATGTTGTTCCTGTAACAGGACACACAAATTAAATTAACGATTTGAAAATAAAAATTGATTAGCATTAGGTGTTAGAGGGTAATGGCTCACTTAGCTCAATTGTGACAAATTTTGGATTCATCTTCAACTAGCCAGTACTGGCATCATTAATAGAAACATGGTCGTGTGTACAATATATAGCCCGAAATCACTCTACAATTTCTATTACATTTTACAAGCGAATAGAGCTGTTATCAGAACAATGTGATTATCAAAAAAATCTTAAGTTTAGATACATTGGTTCTGCAAATAAAAAATTCGATTGCCTGCTTCAAAATGTGCAACACAATATAAAGATACATATACATTGCAATCAAGTATATCTCCCTCGTTTAAACTGCTACGAGTGCAAAAAATAGAAAGAGACATAACACTATTTTATTTATTATTTGTTTGTTGAATTGGGCTTTACGTCACATCAATACTGTTTAAGTCATATGGCGATGTTTCAGCTTTAAAAGTGGAGGAAGGCCTCAATCATGCATTATTTAATATTATATTTAATAAACCGAGTGTGCGTTTTGCGATTTTTCCATTGCTTGCGAACGAAACCCTTTCTAGAAATCAACATCTTTTAAATTATTGAAGAAACAACAAACACTCGTGTATTCATTTACGATACTTTCTAAAACTTAAACATAGGGTTTTTTCATTTAAATTAATCATGTGTTCTCGTATACTCCTCTCATTCCGTTATTGTTGAGACAATTGCAATATGTTTTATCAGATTTTCAACTCTCCCTTGGGGTATTCTTATACATTAATCTTAATGTATATATTTATAGTGTATGTTGCAGTGAAATTTAAAGTGAATTGATTTCCTCATATTTATGGCATATAAATTGATGTAAATGTGTTTTAAATATCCCTTTTTCTAATGATATGACTTAATAATCTTTATAATTGCTTCTCGTGATGTATCATTTTGTTTGTTTGTTTGTTTTGGGTTTTACGTCACATCGACACAGTATAGATATCATATTGTACCTTAATTATAAACGGAAGTTGTTTATTGTCAAATAATGCACCATAGTGTGATAAATATATATACCAACAGCAATGAATTGTTTGCATTTCATATAAAGTCTTTTAATGTACACAAGTCGTCTGCAGACATGTCAACGTCTGTCACCAAGTCTTTAGAAAACATCAAAACAACTCGCATATTATACAAGCATTTCTGGTAACGGCTACGGAATTACAAAAAAGTTTTCAATATGAGTTCAATCCTATTGATATCTATAAGCTTGCTACCTTTTGACAAATGATAGCTGTTCCTTTTCGGAATGTAAAAGTGAGTTGTGATTGTAATGTATTCTGATAAATTATTTTTTTGTCATTCGAAACTGGACGAAAGGAACGACAGATAACACACGGGTCACCTTAACACAACCTTTATATATTATACAAGGTTATTATTTTGACATAATAAAATTATACACCATTTTGAAAAACAAAATGGCAAAACCTTCCTGATTTTCCCCAATATGTTTCATTGCTTATTGAGGTCAAAACGTATTTCAAAAAGGACTTGAAAATCCTTTTTACTATATGCTTTTCTCAACGTTTTAAAACAAGTAACGTTAGAAGAAAAAACATTACATAAGGTTTTTTAAAACTTTACAGTTTGAATATTAAAAGAGTTGTTTGATCTTTGTCTTAAAAATGTATATCAAAACGTCACTATTGATTTTATCGAACTCTTATATCAATTTCTATATACCTCGACTCGATGTTAGCATATTTATAATAATGTCATATTGCATATACTGCATATCTAAAAAATATGCGAGAATTACTATTCAGTTAAAATAAGTCCAATTGTTGGAAAGTAATTATATAACAAGGTATTTATAAATGTTTTTTTAATCATTTCGATGTTTAACTTTATGGGTCTTACTACTGTTGCTATTTCTGAAAAGCAAGTGGACAAAACGAAACAAGTGATTCATAAAAACTATACCTGTTTTATATGCCCAGACATGAAAAGCGTTCTGTGGATCATTTGGTAAAGTCTTACATTTATTTGAGCGTGGATTTGTAACGTGCTCATTTACTTTGTTCATTATAGTAAAACCAGTGTTTATAAACAGTCATTACTGTTACTCCTATAATAGAAATAGAATAAAATAGTGGCAATGCAAAATTATACTTTATATACTTTGTATACTTTAATGAAAATACTGTCTGCCATTAAGGAACAAGTAAAAGGAAATATTACATTGTTAAGTATTCATATTTCCCGTGTCTAGACAGTGATAAAAATATGAAAAACCAATAAAACATATAAAAAAAATCCTGAAAATAAAAACAAACGAGGAAACTTCAATATACGATGTATCGCCATGAAGGACAATGTTGTTTTTGTTGATGAATCAGACACATAAAGTTTGCATACAATAAGTGAACGAAGAGTATTGTAATTAAATGAAGATAATTTCTGACTGTTATAAGATAATGTTTCATAAACATTGTAAACATAATTGAAATTGAAATGATAGCGGTTCATCTGAATAAAACAATTTTTTAACTGCTGTTTTATACTAACACTTCTATAAAATGTTGTTTATCGTATACATATATTCAGTAGTTAATAAATACTTAACAAGTTTTAATTTTATTAAACAGTATTTCAAAAATCAAATTATTTTATTACTAATCACTTGTAGTCAAGTTGTCTGTATGTTTAAGAGAAATCAGTCATGTTTTACATTGAAAATAGGCGAACAAATTGAAGTGTCTGGGCATAGATCTTTCGTATATTAATATTTTCATCTATTTGTTTGAATCTCATCTAAACAACAGTGGAATTGATTGTTCAAAATTATTATAAATGATCATAATTTATTTCCCGCCACTCATTGTATTTTGAAGACTAAACCTATCACAGTAGAATACAATAATCATAATTACATATTTATCTAAAGATATAATAACAGGTTTGTCATAAATTGATACATTTTGCTAAACATTAGTTAGACTATGTTTAAAACTATTTATATATTTCTAGTATATTGAAATATAAGTACAATTAAAAACAATGAGATAAAAGAAACACTAAGTAATTTACCTACTTAATCTCATGTTTAAAATGTGGCCTGGGATGAGGTATTAGGCTAGGAATTGATTTTTTAGTCATTGTTCATAGTTTAATATTTATATATATATTTTAATATTTATATATATACGCTGTAAAAATAATTAATAAAAAGAAAAATTCTAAAGCTATTATATAAAACATTAAAACCATCAATGTCAAAATAAAACAACACAGCTGATTTGTGTTAAATATTAATTGATTCATCCGGATACAAGTACAAAGTAGTAAATCTATTTTTATAAGGAACCTAGTTCTTACTAGATAATCTTCTGTAAATGAATGCAAAAAATTAGTTAATGTATAAATGACAATAATAGCATATGAAATAAAATCTCAGTAAATTTATGTAAATTATTGTTTCTGAAGAAAGTATGCATTGATATCAAGTGAATTTGTCTGTAATGAAAAATGATCTGTAATAACAGATATAATTACGTGATCCGATATGACATCTTAACGTATGACATATATAGAAGATAATAAAGTGGTGTAAGATAAAATATTATTCATCATATT